TTACCATCTATATTTTAAAAAATGAGTTGCTTTAACTTTCATGAATGTGTTACTCAGAAGTAATTGCAGCTTGATATTACTTACTAGGTATGTTCTTGAAGGGGGGATAAATAAAACTATATATTTTAAGTGACTCGTTATTTTTATTTCTTTTTCAGATAGATGGTTCACAGCAAAGTTGGCCAGAAGTTACGTATTTCCCATATATTCCCCCCAACCCCCCTGCTTAGCCTCTACCTCATCAACATCCTGCATCAGAGTGGCACCAGTTTGTAACATTTATTACAGTTGATTAACCTACATTGATATATTATTGTTAATCAAAATACATAGTTTACAGTAAGGCTCACTCTTTGAAGGAACTTTCTATTAACAAAACAAAACAAAAAGTAACTAGAATGAGGACTCTCTAATTTTCTCTCTTTTGAAAGGCCATTTTCTCCAGGAAAATCTAAAGTGTCATAACCATGTGACCTTTCCATGAGCATGTGGCTTTTAGTTATAGGTTTTATAGTATTCATGTAGTAAATTGAACATGATGAGGCCCCAGAGATAGGGGAATTGGAAGGGTGCCACATGCCAGACTATTTAACGGAAAGGAGGGGATTTCACATCCAGTCCATTGTATGGTAGGATATTTTAATCCCTGCTCTATCAAGGACAAAGCAGAGGAATTGGGTTTATAATACAGCAGTGAGCTGAGTTATGTCTGAGATAGAACTCTATGCCTGTGTGGATAGGTAAGACGTAGAGTCATGATGTTCTTCCAGAGCTTAAAAATGGTGGATAATTCATAGGCTATTAAAATGTTAAAACTGAAAGGGACTAAGAGATCTTCTCTAATCCTGTCGTTGCATGTTAGTGTAAACATGTTGTTTGTGTATGGTAATTTAGGTGTAGTCCTTCCTAAAGGTAATGTCTTAAATGAGTGCCTGAAAGTTCTTTCCAGGAGCACAGCTCTGTGGCTATACAAATTCTGGGTATAAATGTCATGAGCTTTTAATTTAGGTACATGATGTGTGTGTTAGAGGTGGAAAAAACATGAATCTATTTCTGGAGGAGTTTAGAGTCCAAGTGTGCTAAAATTTTTCATGTAAGTTAGATTAGTGTATTAAAATAAGCACAAATGGCTGTGGGAGTTCAAAGAAAAGATTACCTCTGATGGGAAGTATTGGAGAAGTCCATTGAAAG